GTGATGATGTGGAGGAGGCGGCGGAGGAGGAGGAGAGAGGATGAGGAAGGAGGAGATGGTCTTGCTTTCGTGCGCCCCATCCATATGCGAGGGTGGTGGTGTTGCAGTTCGCACGGGACCCATCAAAGATGAGAATGGAGGTGAAGGAGGTGGAGAGGGTACGAGGTTGGATGAAGAAGGCAAGAGGCGGAGGGAAGGAAGGAGACAGAGCAGCCCCCAATAGATTCCTACAGCCTACAGACCCCGCAGACATGTTCGTGCTTCTATGTGTTTCCGCCCTACACCCTCCACTTACCTCTCCCACTCCCCCTACCCCTCCTCCCCCTCCTCCTCCTCCTCCTCCTCCTCCTCCTCCTCCTCCCCCTCCCCCTCCTCCCCCTCCCCCTCCACCGCCGCAAAGTCGTCCCCCTACCCTGGAGCGCGTTCCGACCAGGATTATGAGGCGGATGCAATCGAAGCCGAGCGACGAGACCCCCAACCAGCCTCGAAAGGGCCGACAGGCGCCAGCCTCCTCCCTCCCCGCCTCATTCCTCTCCTCCGCCCTCCTCCCCCTCCTCCCTCCTCCCTCTTCCCCTCCCCCTCCCTCCCGCCACCCGCCTCCTCCTCCTCCCGCCTCCCGCCTCCCGCCTCCCGCCTCCCGCCTCCTCCTCCTCCTCCTCCTCCTCCTCCTCCTCCTCCTCCTCCTCCTCCTCCTCCTCCTCCTCCTCCTCCCCCTCCTCCCCATGTGTCCTCCCATCCCCCCACCTCCCCTCCCCCCCGTCGACCCTCCGGGCTCCGCGGTCCACCCGCCCCCACTGCGCTCCTCCGCCCGCTCCTCCACCCCACGCCCCCTGCGGGATCTACTGACCCGGATCAACCCAGACCCGGGTCAGTCAGGCCTTGCAGGACCCCGCAGGATGCTGCAGGATCCTGCACCCGAGCCCGGGTCGATGCGCCCCTGGCCACGCATGATCCTGCCATATCCAGCGCTCTGACTGACCCCCGTTTGCAGTGACCCCCGTCCCTTGAGCCCCGACCCCTTTCGGGGATGGACAGACCCCCCTTTAGTAAAACGTGGTTCAGTGATAACGACCTGAGGCCCAAACTTGACGGGCGCAAGCCTGGAAAATAACAATAACCACGGCGCCCTCTCGAGAACCGAAGACGGACAATTCACTAATCGACGTGTCACTGTTGGGGGTTCTGTCCAGCCCCGACCCCTTGCTCTCCAACCGCCCCCAATATCCGCCTCCCTGCTCCCGCCGCCGCCGCCGCGGCGGCGGCGCCGTGAGGCCGCGCGCCTCCGCGCACCCCGCGGGCAGGGCGGCCTGCGGGGCCGCGCCCGCGCGGCGCCGCGGGGGGCCGCGGCACGGCGGCGGCAGCACCTGGGCGCCTGCAGGGCGCGCGCGCGCGCCCGCTCCCCCTCCCTCCCTCCTCCATCCTCCCTCCTCCTCCTCCCTCCCTCCCTCCTCGCTTTTCCCTCCTCCCTCCTCCCTCCCTCCCTCCGTCCCTCCCCTCTCTTCTCTCCCTCCTCCCCTACTCCCTGCTCCCCCAATCCCGCCTCCCTCCGCCCTCGGCATGCTTCAGGATCTTCAAACGGTTGTCCTCCAAAGAGCAATTATAATGAACCGTTGTGGGGGCCTATGAAGAGGGAGCTTGGAAAAGCTGATTCCAACATCGTTGATGACTCCTCCTCCTACTCCTCCTCCTCCTCCTCCTCCTCCTCCTCCTCCTCCTCCTCCTCCTCCCTCCTCCTCCTCCGCATCTTCCTCCTCCTCCTCCTCCTCCCCCCTCCTCCTCCTCCCCTTCCTCCTCCTCCTCCTCCTCCTCCTCCTCCTCCTCCTCCTCCTCCTCCTCCTCCTCCTCTCCTCCTCCGGCTCCTCCTCCTCCTCCAGCCCCTCCTCCCCTCCTGGCCCCATGGGGCGCTCCCACACGTGGTGGAGCGTGCGCAAACGCACACATGGTGAGGTGGGCAGCAGGAGGGACGAGGAATAAGATCGTCGTCATCGCCGTCATTGTCGCCGTCGCCGCCCCCGCCGTCGCCGCCGCCGTTGCCGGCGCCGTTGCCGCCGCGGCCGCCACCGTCGCCGCCGCCGTTGCCGCTGCCGCAGCCGCGGCCGTCGCCGCCGCCGCCGCGGCGCCTGGGCCCCGCGCCGCCGCGCCGGCGCGCGGCGGCCCCGGGCGCGAGCGCGAGCGCGCCGCCGCGCGGCGGCGGCTGCGGTGCGCGTGCTGGGCCCGGCGGCGCCCTCGGGGCGGACGCGGGCCAACGCCCACCTCTCCCTCCTCCTCTCTCCTCCTCCTCCTCCTCCTCCTCCTCCTCCTCCTGCTCCCCCTCCTCCTCCTCCTCCTCCTCCTCCTCCTCCTCCTCCTCCTCCTCCTCCTCCTCCTCCTCCGCCGCCTCCCCGAGGCACCCAGAAAAGCGGCGGCGCGCACGCCGAGCACGTCCTGAGAACGGCGGCTTCGGCGTCTCGTCTCCAGGTTCCCTGGGGCGCCCTCGGGGACCTCGGGCCGGACGTCGGGCCCCCGGGAGGCCCAGGAACAGCGGCGGCGCGCGCGACGAGCACGTCGAGGGCCACGGCGTCGGCCTCTCGTCTGCGGGCCTGCACTGGGGCGCCGGACGCTGCGCGCCCCGAGGCCCCGGCGGGGCGACGAACGAACAACACACACCCATACCTGCAGGGGGGACGTTGAGAGGAGGACTGGCTGTGGGTAGGGGTGCGGGCTGTCGGCTCCTGGGGGGCGCTTCCTTTCGAGCGGGGGCCCCCATCCGACAACACGCACCCATAGCCCGCTCCGTCCCACCTATGGACATGGGTGCGTGTTGTTCGGCCGTCAGCGGGAGGGCGAGGAGCCGGGGCGCGCACGAGGAGCACAACGAGCGAGCGAGCGAGCGAGCGAGGCGCCCGCACTGGCACCTGCGGCGAGGCGCGCGTGCCCGTGCCCGGTGGGGCGTCAGGCGCGCGCGGCCGTACCCCCGTCGGGCACGTCGAGGCGCACGACGAGCACGTCGAGGACGACGGCGTCGGCGCCTCGTCTCCGAGCCGTCCCCGGGCGCCTTCTGGGGGCTGCCGCGTCGCCACGGGCGGGCGCAGCTCTGGACCCGACTGGCCCAAACGTGAGGGGCAACGACAGGGGGGGACTGGCATCGGGGGGATGCATCGACCTGGAATCGGCGATACATCGCCGATGGATCGGCGATAGGCCTCCGATCGTGAATCCGCACCTTCCTGGGTAGGTTGATGCTATCGGGCCCCTGTCGGCGATCAATGGGCGTTTGGGGGTCGATGCATCCCCCCCTGTGCCTATCCCCCTCTAAATATCGTTGCCCCTGAAGATGGATGGCCCCTCCCACAGGTGGGGGCCTGGGGGCTGGCTTCGAGCGGGCCTCGACCGAGCAGCACGCAGAGGAGGCTTCCCCAGTGGGCTCGGAGGGCCGCTCCGCCTCGGCGATGCATCGGCGGTGCACCGGCGAAGCACCGGCGAAGCATCGGCGCCGCCTGCTCGGAGGGAATCACGCTCCACGGCGAGCGGCACCGCCAATGCACCGGCGAGCACGATCCTCCGACCCCTGTCGGGGCGAGGGCGAGCCCAGAGGCCCAATGGCGGCATTCGCTCGGCCGTCCCGCGGCGGCCTGCGGAAGCCTCCCGGAGGAAGCGGAGGCCCTCGGAAGTTGACTCGTGTCCCACAGTTCCCTTGATTCACTGTGTCCGCCTCCTCCTCGTCGTCGTCGTCGTCGTCGTCCTCCTCCTCCTCCGAAAAAAATCCTATTCACTGCCGAGGTCGGTTCAGTATTGTGCGGGGCCCAGCGGATCTGACTCGTCGGGCGGGGGCTCTGGGTCGTGGGGGTATGCGGCTGTACTGGCCGTGGGGGGCGCCGAATGAGAAGGAACGACGCAGGAAAGAGGGAAAGAATGCGGACGACGAGACTGAGCAGGATGGGAACAAGAGGAAGGGGGAAGAGAGGGGGCAGGAGGACGAGGACCTAGAAATAGAAGAGAAGGAAGGCAAGGAGGACCCAGGAGGGCATCAGAAGAATACGGGTGGGGAGGGGGAGGATGAGGAGGAGGAGGAGGAGGAGGAGGAGGAGGAGGAGGAGGCGGAGGAGGAGGAGGAGGAGGAGGAGGAGGACAACTAATGATTGGGACAGGGATGGGGAATGAGGATGGAAGGGAGGACAAGGGAAGACAAGGGACGGAGGAGGACGGCCTGCCCGAGCCCAATCGGCGATGGGATGGACGAGAACCGAAGCGCAGGCAGAAGTACAAGGCACACCGGGGCAGGCGCCTGCACCATTTTCGGGATGCCGTCCTCCCGTCCTGGCCCCGTCTTCGTCTCCTCCGGCGAGAACTGAAGCAGCGGGCGGTGAACGCGACCCGCCCAGAAGACGCACTGAGCTCCACGACGGGACCGATCTCCGCCTCCGTGGGCCCAGCTCCACCAGGGGTCAGGAGGGAAAACAAAACACACAGACACAATTCATCGTCGATCCCCCCACAAATATTGGAAAATATGGGAAGTGGGGGGACGACCAAAACCCCAAAAACATGGGAAACTATGGGGCATAGTTTTATCTGTGTGTATTTACTTGTGTGTCCTGGGGCCCATTCAAGGGGAGGGGGGGGGGCCGACGTGGCCCTCCCGCCCCGCGGGCTCGCGCTTGTGGAGGCGGGAGCGCGCGGGCCGAGCTCGGTCCGGGCGCGGCCTTCGACCCCGAGGCGCACCGCTGGCCGTCGCTCGGACGTCTATTCCCTGTGCTTTTTGGTTCGATTTCGTGCGATGCATTTTCGCCAAAGGATCCAGGATGCTCCTCGATGGTCCTCGCCAAAGGAAAAATGCACACATCCGAGCGATGCCAAGGCACAATTACTTTCTAATAAGAACTTTTGAACATCGCTTTTCTAGAAAGGATTCTGTTTGTTGAAGAAGACTGACACATTGAACATAACATGTCTTCAACGTTCACTCGGGTCGCACGGATCGGATCGGGGACGGATCGGAGCGGTCGGATCGGGGACGCACATTAACCCGGGTCGCCAAACAGCCGGGTCTGCCAGGGCACGGACACCGACGCGGACACGGACACGGCCTGCGTCTTGCACCGCGCGGGTGCCGCAGGGTGAGGCCGAAGCACACGGAAAATGATTGGCGCGCGAAATTGGCATGAAAAACACCTTTACACATCATACTCAGACCTTGTATCTGTCACGGCTAAGATCTGGCATGCAAGGTCGGCGAGGGCCGTGCTGCGAAGCCCGGCAAGCCGTCCAGTGGCTCCCGCACTTTGGTCAGCGGAGGTCGGCCACGGGGGAATCGGCCCAACGTGGATCCCGAACCTGGGTCAGTCAGAGGGGACTGGCTGACCCACGCGAACTCCGACCCCCGTGGCGTCAGCCTCGACGCGAGTCCCCTGGCATGCTATCGGCCAAGGCCAGCGGAGCGCCATGACCGACGAGGAGGAGGAGGAGGAGGAGGAGGAGGAGGAAGACAAAGAGGAGGAGGAGGAAGACAAAGAGGAGGAGCAGGAGAAGGAACCCTCACCGCATAGTCTTGCCGCATAGTGAAATACCGTGGCCCCGAAGCTGAAGCAGCAGGGATGCAGCAGACATGTCGTGTGCATAAGGTCCCGCTCCGGGCGCACCAGTGAGCAGCTCTATCTAACCAGCCTCGAGCTCATCCCTATCCCTGAGATTGTCAGGCCGACGCGATGAACATCTTAGAGATGTGCCCTGCGAAATTGCGGGGAAGGGCCCCGATAGAAGGCGATGCCAATCTCAAGGATAGGAATCTGCTTCAGGCCTGTAAAGGTCCCCGCGAGAGAGCAGGGGCACCTGTGCTGTTGCCCAGATCCCACGCGCGCCCGCAGGTCCAAATAGAAACTCCGTAGCGCCCCGCAGTTGCATACAAAAGTTAGGGGGCGAGAGCGGGGTGGGTCGCGGGTTGGTCGCGGGTTGGGTTGCGGGTTGGGACGCGGGTTGGGTCGCGGGTGGGTCGCGGGGTGAGTCGCAAGGGGGGGCGACCAGACCAATCTTTTGAAGTCCGCGGGCGCCAAGTGGTCCGAGACAGTCAGAGCCCAATCGTGGCAAGTGGCGGGATGAACTGGGAACGAATTGCGGCGCATCGACCACACCCGACAAACCAACGGATCTGGGCCACGGAATCCCACTGCAACCACGCACCGAGGGATGGTGCAAGACCGCTCGGCGTCCTCACTCGGATACTTCAGTCAGCATCGAATCGGGAAATCGGGTCGAATCGGAATGCGCGTCGGATCGGAATGCGCATCGGCGCGGAGTCGATATCGAGTCGTGTCGGCCGCGCCAGGACGTACAAGAGAACGCCGCTCATGCATCGGGCCGCATCGGATCGGCGGAAGCTGTCGGAATCGACTCGGACCCAGCCCACCAACATCGGTCAGCATCCTGCAACCCCTCCGAAAAAGGTAACGCAAGTTGTCCCGAACCCCGCGCCCCCAATCTCAATGCTAAGTTGCGCGCGCGGCGCGGTCCGCGGACGCCGACGGAGAACATCCAGTCGCGTGCGTGCGGCATCAGCACTGCGATTTGGGGGTCTGGGGGTGCCGACGCGGCGAGGGGAACACTTGCGTCAAGTGTCGCGGAGGGATGTGGATCACCCGACTGTCGGACTTCGAGCCCTGCCCCCCCATGATGCGCGACGCGCGTTCAGCTTCGCGCTCGAGAGGAGCAGGGGGAGGAGGAGGAAGGATGAGGATGAGGATGAGGATGAGGATGAGGATAAGGATGAGGATGAGGAGGAGGAGGAGGAGGAGGAGGAGGAGGAGGAGGAGGAGGAGGAAGTGGCCTGTTAAACAAAACTGACTGCCAACCCTGGCCCTCACGAGCCGCCGCCCGCCGTGCGCGAGCGACCCACGGACCTCGGACCTGGGCCGAAGCGTGCACCCCCCGAGGGGGCGGCACGCGGGGCGGTGGGCCGTCCTCGACCTGGGGGAGGAGCAGCCACCTCTCCTCCTCGCGGGGGGCAGGGCCAGGCACGAGGAGCCCTCGCCAGACGCCGCAGCGAGCCGTCGTCGTCGTCCCCGTCCTCCTCCTCCCCGTTCCTCCTCCCTCCTCCTCCTCCTCCTCCTCCTCCTCCTCCTCCTCCTCCTCCTCCTCCCCTCCTCCTCCTCCTCCTCCTCCTCCTCCTCCTCCTCCTCCTCCTCCTCCTCCTCCTCCTCCTCCTCCTCCTCCTCCTCCTCCTCCTCCCTCCTACCTCCTCCTCCTCCTCCTCCTCCTCCTCCTCCTCCTCCTCCTCCTCCTCCTCCTCCTCCTCCTCCTCCTCCTCCTCCTCCTCCTACCTCTTCCCCCCGCCGTCCCCTCTCGCCCCCGCACCCTCACCCTTGCATCAAGAATGCTCCATAGGGCTCATGTGCAAAACAATCCTGTTCCTCGACGGGGTGCCTTGAAGGTGACGATCTGGGCCCCGCGCCAGGACCCAACGTCATCAGCTGCAGTGCTGAGACCAGGTGCTAGATGTGACGAGACACCCCAGGAGGCCCCCTGTTCCCCCCTCCCCCAGGGGAACCTGGCCTCCAGGGTTGGGACACACAGCGACGACGACAGCTGCAGCGCTGCGATCCAAGCGAGAGACGAAGTGGAGCGGCACCTGGGCAAGATGCAGGCCTCTCTGCCGCGACTCAGCGAGATGCGGCCGCCAGAGCCCAATGCGAGACTTAGCCGCCACAGCGCAGGGATCAGGGCAAGCGCGAAGGACAGCTGTGGCCAGCCGCGGAGTGAAGTTGAGGCCAACGTCATCAGCTAAACTCGGGCCACGGCTTGCGAGAAAGGCGGGGAGGCAAAGGAGAGCCAGGCCCGCTCCACGACCCCAGCCGGAAGGCAGGCCCCCCTCCCATATATTCCACTTGTCTTGCGGCACTCGCTTCATATGGAGAGCGTAATATGGTCGCCTCTCCGCATTATCCTTTGCGCCGCGTGCCCGTTGCTCCTGGGCCCGCCAACCGCAACGGGTTACATCCGCATGCCACCCGTTTCGGCTGACGTCCGCGAGATCTCACGGATGCCGTCCTCCCCCCGGAATCACGAATCCCGAAAGCAGCGGGGTCGTTCTGACGCTTCCACCCGAGGGCCGGTCGGCCCTGGAGGGGGGTGATCAAACTGATCAGCCGGGTGACTGGCGTCACCAGCTGGTGGCAAAGATGCAGGCAAGTGAGGAGAGTGTGAAAGCAAATACAAAAACAGCAGACAAGCATGGAGAAGGAAGAGAGGGGGAGAGAGAAGTCCAATTGGGAGGAACAAAGAGGGACGGTGGCGACTGCGAGGCTGCGGTGGGTTGTCCAAGGTGGCGCAGCAGCTGCGACAATGGGAGGAGTGGCAGAAGCACGGCTGACACATTTTTAAAACTGCGCGATCTGGCCATTTGTGGCGGTCGCCTACGTTCTACACCCCCCCACACCATTCTGAATCCACCCCATCATCTAGGTGGCGGCTGCGAGGCTACGGAGGGCTGGCGTATGGCGTGGCACGTGCGGCGGTAAGAGTGGTGGCAGAAACACGGCTGAAACTGTTGAAGCTGCGCGAAAAGGTCAAACATGGCGGTCGCCGATGCTGGAATCCCACCCCATCCTCCAAGTGGCGGCTGCCAGGCTGCGGTGGGCTGTCTTAGACGGCGTGGCAGCTGCAGCGGTAGGAGGGAGGAGACACGACCGAAACCGCAGAAGCTGCGCGAGCAGGCCACTCTCGCCAAGGTGGAGGGCACAGGCCTCTCCCCCTGCACAGAGGGCTCCCCCACAGGCGTCCCACGGTCCAACGACGGGGACCCGCACCTGCGAGCAGGCGTGGGGCTCCGAGTGCGCGGGACTGGGGGGGGGCACCGGGGGGGGGTCCATCGAGCGCGGGGGAGGCTTGAGCCTTCGGGGGCGGTAGCTTTCTGTCCGTGGGGGGGTCCACGCTCAAAAACCAGTATCAAGTCGCAAGGGCCTCTGCCCCTGCTCATGGGGACCCACCCCAATACAGGGTCCCCCCCCTCCCACGACGGGGACTCTCACCTTCAAGCAGGCGAAGTGTTCCCAGAACGTGGGACTGGGAGCCGCTGAGGGGGGGGGGGTCCACCGAACGTGGGGGAGGTTTGCGCCTTCCGTTGCGGTAGCTTTCCCATTCCTCCGCCACAAGCGTGGGAAATTAGGTGAAGGTTAGCGGGGCGAGGTCGGGGGAGCGGGGGCTGCAAAAAGGTGAGCCAGGCAGGGAGCGAAGGTTGGGCCAGCTGGCCGCTGGTAGTGTCTGCTGTCAGTAGCAGCGAACTGCTGCAAGACGCTTGAGGTAGGCGGCGTGAGAATGCACGTTTTCACTAGCCGACCTACTCCTTGACCCGCCTCTTCTCATCGTTGCCGCCATTCGGGTGCCTTGCTGAGGCAGTTCTCCTTCGACTATCACCACCGCCACCTCCGTCGCCAAAGAGCACCACTGCCCCTTCGACTACCACCACCGCCACCTCCGCCGCCAGAGAGCACCACTGCCCCTTCGACCACCACCACCGCCACCTCCGCCGCCAGAGAGCACCACCGCCCCTTCGACTATACCACCACCGCCACCTCCGCCGCCAGAGAGCACCACCGCCCCTTCGACTATACCACCACCGCCACCTCCGCCGCCAAGGAAGCACCCACCGCCACCTCCGCCGCCAGAGATCACCGTCGCCGCCTCCGCCGCCAGAGATCACCACTGCCGCCGTCGCCCTCGCCGCTGCCGCCGCCGCCCTCGCCGCTGCCGCCGCCCGGGCAGGGGCGCGGCGGCGCTCCTCCCCCGCAGAGCCGCCGGCCTCGTCGGAGCCCGACCCGGCCCCGCGCTGGCAGTCGCGTGCGCCGCGCTCCGAGGGCGCGGAGCCGCTCTCCTCGGCGGCGCGCCAGAGGGGGGCAGGGGGGAGGGGACGGCTTCTTCGAGGGAGGCTGCTTCTCGGCAGGCGCCAGCCTGGCATGTATAGACCAGGCCCGCGGCTTCTGAGAGGCAGGGGTGCCTCTGAGAAGCCTTCCCCCCTCCCTCCCTCCCCCCCCCCCTCCCCCCTCCCTCCCTCCCCTCCCTCCCTCCCCCCCCCTCCCTCCCCTCCCCCCTCCCTCCCTCCCCCCCCCTCCCCTCCCTCCCTCCCCCCCCCCCCTCCCCCTCCCCCTCCCTCCCTCCCCCTACCCCCCTCCCTCCCCCTCCCCCCTGCCCCCCTTGCATGCAGAAGCCTCCCCCCTCCCCCCTGCCCCCCTTGTCGCGTGGCCGATCTCCTCGCCGCCGGTGGAGGAGCCGTCCCACTCCGCGGCGTGGCCCGAGGAGGAGCCGCCGTCCTCTGCGGGGGAGGGGCGCGGTGACCATGACCACACCACACGTTAGGAGGCAACTACTGGGAGGTTTTCGTCGGAGAAATTAAAGAGGATTAAGTCCCATTTGGGGACTGTTACGCCGGAATGGGCCTCAGACTAAGCAGGATTAAGCCGGATTAAGCGGGATTGAGCGGGATTAAGCCGGATTAAGCGGGATTAAGCCGGATTAAGCCGGTTTTCGGACCAGGGCAAAGTCAGAATTTAACCTCCCAGGAGTTGCATCCGAACACACGGTGGGCGGCGGGGATCGACCTAAACGACTAGTGCTTTTCGCGTTGGTTTCGTTTTCCCTCGTGTTGTCTTCGATCCGCCAGTGCAGCAGAACGAAAACGGCCCACGAGATCACCAAAACGCCGTTTAGGTCGCCCCCTGGTGAGCAATAGCGCGCCCCTGACTGGCCCTGCCCCTTCAGAGGGCACCGGGAACGGCAACTCCGCTTTTCCACCGCTCCGAACAGAATCTCTGGAGAATGGAAAGCGGTAAGACAACGGCGACCAAAACATCGGGGATCTTCTGACCCGGGGGTCAGCAGGAAACCAAAAAACTGCAAGCCCGGGTCAGCCAATATGCGCGGCCGCCTCGCGGCTCGCTAACCTGGGTCAGCAAGAGGGGGTCTTCGCAGGATCCTGCAGGATCCGGTGCCCTGGCTGACCCTCGTTTGCATTGACCCCCGTCTCTTGAGCCCCGAAAAAACAGCCAACCAACGGCTCCGGGATTGGAGCCGGAAGCAGACTCGGAAAACAGCGGCGACAGAACTGGCAACAAAACGGCGCCTGTGCCGTCAAGAAGCGGCAAAACGGAACCGGCAACAAACACGGCCCTGTCGCTTCCAGGGTCCAAGGCCCCGCAGCACCCCCACCTCCGCCCCGCACTGGCCATGCTGGAGCATGCCCGGGCGGCGCCGGCGCGGACCGCGACGTGACGGGGCACCCGTCCTCACCCCCTCACAGTCACGCCCGTAGACGAAGCCAGGGCAGGGCAATCCTTGGCCCTGGCATGGTGGCTACTCACGCCCTCCTGGCCGAGGCCGTGAGGCCTTGGCGGCGCGCACGGGGGGTAGGGGGGGGGGACGGCTTCTTAAGAGGGGGCTGTTTCTTAGAAGGCGCTGGCCTTACATGTATGGACAAGGCCCGCGCCTTCTAAGAAACACGGCTGCTTCTAAGAAGCCTTCCCCCTACCCCTACCCCCATCTGCGCGTGGCCGCCTATACTACACCATCCCTAGGCACAAGACGACCTTGCCCAAGCACGGTGGTGTACAAGCATCCACTGCAGACAAACAGTCCATGCGGCTCTCCGAAGCACGAACAAAAAGCCGATGCCCCCATGGTTGCCTCTCGAAGCGTGCCGCCGAGGACGGTTGTCCCTCGAAAGGCTGATACTGGCAGCCGCTGTACGGCTGACATAAATGGTCGGTCGGGCCATAGGGATCCCGCACACAACGCTTGGCTCCTTTCCTTTTTCTTCCTCCAGGCAGACTTGCGGTGGCCTCGTCCAGGGGGACATGCTCCTGGGCCTGGTGCTGGTGGTAATCCCTCGTCCACCTGGGAAGCCCGAGCATGACTAACCAGCACCACCGAGATCAGACCACCTTCCCTCAGTGGAGGCAACCGCCGATACTGGAGTTGGGGCCCACTCCTGTGGAGACACGTGCTCATCTCAGTCCTCACAGTCGGCTGGTCACTAAACCTTCGGCGGCTGAGAGCAAGGCCAGGCGCTGAGGGCGGAGGCCCCAAGATGCCGGCAAGAGGCCCACAAGAGGCCCAAAGAGGCCCCAGACAGGAGGCCTCAACGCTACACCAAAGAGACTCGGCAAGGCCTCACAACTCTAGGCACGGTGCAGTCGAACCTACCTCACCCCAGGTTCCACACGGGAGCCAAACGACACCAAGGTACCCGTGGGGGGGGGCCCGCAACGGTCAGGCTGCTTGAAGAGGAGCGCGTTTTTCTGCGATAGTGGGCGTCAAAGGGCGGTATAACGTAACGCCCCCCCCCCGCCGTGTGGCTCCAGCACTTTTGTATTTTCTGGGATAGCGGCCGTCATCGGCCCCACGCAGATGGGAGGAGTTAGAATGATGCCAGAGGACTCGGGAGGACTTGTAGATTCCAGCGGCGCTCAGTTTTCCATCAGGATTCCCTTCCGAATCCGATTATAGCCGGAGTGCAGTATCCCCAAACAGGGTTTTTAGACCCACTGCGGTTTCCAAGGTCGATTGCGTGCACGTCCAGTGCGGGCTGGCATGGCATGTTAAAACATGCCTCCTCCTCCTCCTCCTCCTCCTCCTCCTCCTCCTCCTCATCCCGAACGGCATCTCGGAGCCTAGAGTTGCGAGGATGTCTCCAGCGTAACGGGCTGGACCACCTCGCGCGCGGCATCTCGGACCCCAGAGTTGCGACGATGTCTCGGGCGAAACGTGCTGCGAGGAAGTCTCAGGCGAAACGGGCCAGACCCCCTCGAGCGCGGCGTCTCAGAGCTCCGAGTTGCGGGGGCCTCCTGGGGCCTCGTGGGACCTCCTGGTGACCTCCTGGGGCTTCCTCCTGGGCCTCCTGTGGCCTCCTGGACCCCACCTGGGGCTTCCTGAAGCCTCTTGGGGTTCCCAGGGGGGGATATCTAACATGTGGCCGTCGGGGCCCCTCAAAATGGGGGGGGGCACAAGAGCAGGAAAAATCAACGAATCGGCACCGGATGTGTATTAACTTGACACGTTCTGATAAGGGGCCTCCTGGGGCTTCCTGGGAACCTCCTGGGAATCTCCTGCGGACCCCTGGGGCCTGTCCTGGGCGTCCTGCGGCCTCCTGGACCTCTCTGGGGCCTCCTGAGGCTCGCAGGGTCCCAGGGGGGATATGTAACATGTGGTCTTCTGGGCCCCCAGGCTGGACCACCTCTTGCGCAGCATCTGAGAGCTCAGAGTTGCGAGAATGTCTTGTGCGAAACGGGCCGGACCACCTTGCGCACGGCATCTCAGAGCTCAGAGTTGCGAAGGATGTCTCAGGCGAGATGGGCCGGACCACCTCGCGCAGGGCATCTCGGAGCCCAGAGTTGCGAGGATGTCTCCAGCGTAACGGGCTGGACCACCTCGCGCGCGGCATCTTCGGACCCCACAGTTGCGACGATGTCTCGGGCGAAACGTGCTGCGAGGAAGTCTCAGGCGAAACGGGCCGGACCACCTCGAGCGCGGCGTCTCAGAGCTCCGAGTTGCGGGGGCCTCCTGGTGCCTCCTGGGGCCTCCTGGGGACCTCCTGGGGCTTCCTCCTGGGCCTCCTGTGGCCTCAACTCCACCTGGGGTTTCCTGAAGCCTCTTGGGGCTCCCAGGGTGGATATCAAACCTGTGGCCAAATGGAGGGGGGGGGGGGGGGGGCACAAGAGCAGGAAGAATCAACGAATCGACACCGGATGTGTATTAACTTGACACGTTCTGATAGGCGGCCTCCTGGGGCCTCCTGGGAGCCTCCTAGGAATCTCCTGGGGACCCCTGGGGCCTGTCCTGGGCGTCCTGCGGCCTCCTGGAGCTCTCTGGGGCCTCCCCCTCCTCCTGCCTGCTCCCTCATGCACATCATCCGCCTCCTCCTTCTCCCTTCCATCTCCTCCTCCCTCCTCCTCCTCCTCCTCCTCCTCCTCCTCCACCTCCTCTTCATCCCGAACGGCATCTCGGAGCCTAGAGTTGCGAGGATGTCTCCAGCGTAACGGGCTGGACCACCTCGCGCGCGGCATCTCGGACCCCAGAGTTGCGACGATGTCTCTGGCGAAACGTGGTGCGAGGAAGTCTCAGGCGAAACGGGCCGGACCACCTCGAGCGCGGCGTCTCAGAGCTCCGAATTGCGGGGGCCTCCAGGGGCCTCCTGGGACCTCCTGGTGACCTCCTGGGGCTTTGGCCTACTGGACCCCACCTGGGGCTTCCTGAAGTTTCTTGGGGCTCCCAGGGTGGATATCAAACCTGTGGCCGTTTGGGCCTCTCCAAATGGAGGGGGGGGGGGCACAAGAGCAGGAAGAATCAACGAATCGACACCGGATGTGTATTAACTTGACACGTTCTGATAGAGGGCCTCCTGGGGCCTCCTGGGAGCCTCCTGGGAATCTCCTGGAGACCCCTGGGGCCTGTCCTGGGCGTCCTCCTGGGACCTCTCTGGGGCCTCCTGGGTACCTCCTGGAGCTTCCTCCTGGGCCTCCTGTGGCCTCCTGAACTCCACCTGAGGTTTCCTGAAGGCTCTTGGGGCTCCCAGGGGGGATATCTAACCTGTGGCCGCTTGGGCCCCTCAAAATGGGGGGGGGGGGCACAAGAGCAGGAAAAATCAACGAATCGACACCGGATGTGTATTAACTTGACACGTTCTGATAGAGGGCCTCCTGGGGCCTCCTGGGAGCCTCCTGGGAATCTCCTGGGGGCCCCTGGGGCCTGTCCTGGGCGTCCTGCGGCCTCCTGGACCTCTCTGGGGCCTCCTGAGGCTCGCAAGGTCCCATGGAGGATAATATGATATGTCACATGTGGTCTTCTGGACGCCCAGGCTGGACCACCTCTCGCACAGCATCTGAGAGCTCAGAGTTGCGAGAATGTATTATGCGAAACAGACCGGACCACCTTGCGCACGGCATCTCAGAGCTCAGAGTTGCAAGGATGTCTCAGGCGAGACGGGCCGGACCACCTCGCGCAGGGCATCTTAGAGCTCAGAAGCTCGAGGATGTCTCAGGCGAAACGGGCCGGACCACCTCTCGCGCGGCATCTCCGAAGTCAGAGTTTCGAGGATGTCTCAGGCGAAACGGGCCGGACCACCTCGCGCAAGGCATCGCAGAGCTCAGAGTTTCGAGGATGTCTCAGGCGAAACGGCCCGGACCACCTCTCGCACGGCACCTCGGGGCTCAGAGTTTCGAGGATGTCTCAAGCGAAACGGCCCGGACCACCTCTCGCGCGGCGTCCCGGAGCGCAACTTTTTGAGGATGTCTCAGGCGAAACGGCCCGGACCACCTCTCGCGCGGCGTCCCAGAGCGCAACTTTTCGCAAGGATGTCTCAGGCGAAACGGCCCGGACCACCTCTCGCACGGCACCTCGGGGCTCAGAGTTTCGAGGATGTCTCAAGCGAAACGGCCCGGACCACCTCTCGCGCGGCGTCCCAGTGCGCAACTTTTTGAGGATGTCTCAGGCGAAACGGCCCGGACCACCTCTCGCGCGGCGTCCCAGAGCGCAACTTGTTGAGGATGTCTCAGGCGAAACGGCCAATCCTGGCCAACTCAGAAACGAGAGTTGTGAGGATGTCTCAAGCGAAACGGCCAAAACCATAAAATGTTGGTGAGGATGTCTCTGCTCCGACTTCCCTCGGCCGGAGTTAGTTTCTACCACAACAGCACCCCGTTCAGCAAGCTGTTTGGGGAATAATAAAAAAACATTCCTTCTGTGGAATCCACTTGCGCTCCATTTTGTCATAAAGATTCCTTCCAATATTCTACATGCAGCAGTGGTGCTCTGTTGCACACAGTTGCTGCGGAGCACGCGGGTGCCGTGGTGCACACAGGCGCTGTAGTGCACGCAAGCATTGTGATGTACACTGGTCCTGTGTTGCACACGGCCGATGTGGTGTACGCAGGCGCTGTGGTGTACACAAGCGCTGTGGTGTTCGCAGGCAATGCTCACGGCGGCAGTGCCCAGGACGCACTGGGGGAGGCGTTACGTTATAGGGGGGGGCGCCAGGGGCTATACTGCCCACCATGCCCCAAGCAATAAAGAAGCACGCTCAAGGAGGCGCGTGGTATGACTTGGTTTAGCCTTGAAGCGAAAGCGGGGCAGGTACTTCGCTCTGTGAGTCAGGAGAGTATGTCTTTTGGGGGGGAAGGACAAACGGCATTAGCTAAAACCTTCGGAGCTCCGAGCGGATGCCTTGGATCGGAGATGGACCCACCTCCCGCGCGCAAGTGGCGGCGCTGGAGGCGCCCCCAGGGGGGCCCAACGCCGAACCCAGAAATCCGCGCGGACATCTGAGAAATCATGATATGCCATGTTCCTCCGACCGAAAATTCAGCAGGGACCGACCGTCTAGTTCGCGCGCGCGTAGCGGCCCGTTGGGGTCTGCTGACGAAAAGTGCCCCGGCAAGCTCGGGGCAAGGTCGGGTCAGAGATGCTGGAACTCCTGGGCGCGGCCTCGGGGCCCCCCCCGAGCGCCCCAATGATGCGCCAAAAGGGTGGCACGCACCACGGCCTCAGGGCAAGAGAGTTCCAAGATGGTCAAAGTTGGCCCCAAGACGGCCCAAGACGCTCCAAGAAATTTCCAAAAGGCTTCGAGAGGCCCCGCAAACGCAACAAAACTTTGATGTTGACCGCCCTGGACGGCCACACAGACCCCAAAGTCGTTGCAAAACTATACAATAAGCCTCCAGGAGGACCCCCAAATGGCCCAAGATGGCCCTAAGACGGCCCAAGACTCCAAGACGGCCCTGGGATGGCCCCAAAAGGGGGCCATGAGGGGGAACCCGAACAGACATGTCGAGCTCTCGGCCCCAAGAGGCGCCCAGGAAGCCCTACGAGGCCCCATAGAAGCCCCCAAGGGGCTCCCCAGAGGCCTCAAAACTGCTCCCCAGAGGCTCTCCAGAGCCCTCCGAATAGATCCCCAAAAGCGTCCATGAGAACCCTTATCCACAACCCAGGTACGTCTCGAAACTCTGCTGGAGCTCTCTTGAGCCATCTTGGCGCCCTCAAGGGCAGTCGATCGGCTCTCTTCGAAAGGGTGCGAGCCGCATCTCCAAAGATCTCCTCCAAGACAGTCCTGCCTGCCCCTCCATTCTCCATGGGTGCGAGCACACCACCATGCAGCCACCGTGGTGCGAAATGGGCCGGCGGAATGAGCGAAGCGAATACATAATGTTCGAAGAACAAAACCATGTTCTTAGAACGCGAAGCTGGTGCGTCAAAACAAGACGGCCTCAGCCAGGAACTTCCTAAGAACACGTCGCACACACCACGAAAGGTTGGTGGGTCTACGAGCAAGCCATGGCGCCGCTAGAGGACGAAAGAGCGGCTTCACCATACCCGTTGGACGAAGGAAATGGGTAGAAACATGAAGTAGGCAGGCGTTGAAGCAGATTGGGCCTTCACCCGCCCCCTGGAGAAGGAAGGAAATAAGGTGAGACCACTCGATCCTTGAAGTAGGAAGGCGCCCAAAGGAAGCTGGGATCTAGGAACCCAGACTCCCGACGTCATGTTCTATCCAGAACGTCGACCCCCCGATGTCTGGACCCATTCCCCCAGACGGTCCCGAGGGCTGGATGGCCCGCAGAGCCCGAAAATACCAAAACAAAACAAAGAAGCAACTCCCCGTCACGATTGGAATCCGAAGCTCCACATATACGTTCGAGGCGGGCAGCGCGGAGCCAGCAGTGGCAGGGCCGCTACCATGTTGATTGCCTTTCGGGAAAGTTTTCTTTTTGCTTGCGAGCGTTTCAATTGCGCGGTTGGGCCGATAGCTCAGTGGTCTCATAGCTCAGTTGGTCAGCGCGTTCGACTAATAACCCTTCGAGGATGCCTGCACGGGAATCCTTCGATCTGCGGTGGGCCTTCACCCTCATGCGCGCGGAGCGGCGGCGCGCACGCCAGAGAGGCGCCGCCGCGGAGGGGCCCACGGCGAGTACGAGGAGTACGAGGAAGAGTACGACGAGGACGAGGACGAGAACGAGGGCGGGGACGAGGAGGAGGAGGAGGAGGAGGAGGAGGAGGAGGAGGAGGAGGTGGAGGAGTACGAGGTGGAGGAGGAGGAGGAGGCTGAAGGAGGAGGAAAAGATCCGCGAGGAGCGCCGACCGTCTCTGCTCGTGCCGCTCTTTCTCCTTCAAGCCTCGCCACCGCTCGAGAAAGAATTCGGCGGCGAGCGGAGGAGGAGGAGGGGGAGGAGGAGGAGGAGGAGGAAGAGGAGGAAGAGGAGGAGAGGAGGAGGAGGAGGAGGAGGAGGAGGAGTAGGAGAGGAGGAGGGAGGAGGAGGAGAGGAGGAGGAGGGAGAGGGAGGAGGAGGAGGAGGAGGAGGAGGAGGAGGAGGAGGAGGAGGAGGAGGAGGAGGAGGAGAGGAGGAGGAGGAGGAGGAGGAGCAGCAGGACCAGGCCTTCTCAAAGGCGGCGGGGCTTCTCAGAACCCCTGGCCTTCTGAGAAATTGTGCGTGTCATCGGGGAAGGAATAGAACACTACTCAGAAGGCTTGGGGACTTCCTGGCCTTCTGAGAAGGCCGGCCCCTCCTCACTTCCCCCCGGGCTGGCCGCCGAGCCATTGATTGAGAAAGAATGCACCCCCAGTGGGGACGCTGTGAGAGGCCTCCTAGATAGAGTCCGAGTATGTGGGGTCGGAGGAGCTCGCCACATCGCTGAAGCGGCACGATTCCCCGACCCCAGCAATCGGGGAGACGTAAGACTCGGGTACGGGGGACTCGGGTCGACCTGACGGGGCCGTCATAAATATGACGAGACCCAATCTGCAATTTGACGCGAGCCCCCGCTGCAAACACCCCACGAGAACTGGACCGCCAAGATCCAGGACGCGCTCGCCAGAAAACGCCGGCTGACCCGAGTTCAGTTCCGGCTTACTCGAGTCCTACGTTTCCCCGAACCTACGCCGACCCCATCTGGGAGGCCCAGAGCTGTGCTCTTACTCTTCTCGGTCCTCGCAGTCGGCCGGCCACGGCGCCGCGGCGGCGGGGAGCGCCGCCGGGCGCTGCGGGCGGAAGAGCACCTCCGAGTGGTCCCCGTCCTCCGGGCTCGGGTGATGGTCAGCGTTTCCGTTTTCGGCGTTTCGACATTGGGCGGAACGGGGGGGGGGGGGATGGGGGAGGGGCTGGCTCTGGACCCCTGCTTAATGCGACTGTTTGCAACAGTGCGTCCTTATCGGGGAGACTCCACCTGCTGGAAACAGGCGCCCAGCAAAGCCAAAAGCTGCTCCAGGGGGGGGGGGGAGGAGGGGGTGCGAGGGCCCGCGCCCATCGGCAAAACACTGAATAAGAGAACGCTCACATGTCAGAGACGCTGGGGGGCGTCTTGTTTTGGCGGCGCGCACGAGGGGGCAGGGGGCGGGGGGAAGGCCTCTTGGAGGGAGGCTGCTTCTTAGAAGGCGCTGGCCCTACATCCACGGACAAGGCCCGCGCCCTCTGAGAAGCAGGGGTGCTTCTAAGAAGCCTTCCCCCTCCTCATACCCCCCTTCTGCGCGTGGCCGATTGTTCACAGTTTCGAGAGCGCCGATCTGCCAGTCCCCAGTCTCCAGAGTTAAAAAAGCAGTCTCCAGTGACTCCAGTGGCCTCTTCTTCGATCTGGGGCATCTCAGCCGAGGCCTCTTGGAGGGAAACCAAAAAATGTGCTCAACATCAACTGAAGTCCTCGGGCAGCAGGAAGAAGTGCCCGGCCGCGCTGCGGCTGGAGGCCTGGGCCGAGTTCAGCAGCGCCACGCGGGCCGCCTGTCATAGGAGACCAAGTGAGAGGAGGAGAGCCCTGAGATCCTGGGCATCGCAATTGTCTCGCGCTGGGCGATTCTGGCCGAATTCAGGCCCCGGGACCATCACAAATCGATCCGGCTTGAAATATGCCGCCAGAAGATTGGGTCTAGGGCTCCAGTCAGGATTGTTCGTGATGTTGCATGTGTTCGCAGCGTCGGATCTCAGGAAAGTGCCAATACCGCTGCCCGTCCCTCGCTTTCGCCCTCATCGCCTCAGCTGGATTCACCTCCTCCTGCTTCGCCTCCTCCTGCTCTCCTCCTCCTGCTCCTGCTCCTGCTCCTGGAAATTCGATGCAGAACGCACCCCAGGAGAGGTCTGGGGAGCAGCAGTGCCGGCATCTGTTGGCTCCCAGGGCCTGGAAGGCTCTGCACACCGAGCTGCCGGCGAAGAGGTAGGAGTACAGCGCGCGCAGGAAGCAGTGGCTGTCGGAGTCCAGCAGGTCGACCGAGGTCCCGATCACGTGGGGGACGCCGCTCCTCCGACGAGGACACAAAAGTTACGTCGGGCACGTCCCTCTACAGGAGGAACATTCAAAGACAGGAAACAACAAGTGTCTGGGTACGAGTTGTTGTACTATGTCAACGATGTTTGAATGTGTTGTTTTAACTATTTCCATTTTTCGTCGAAAATCCGCCTGTAGGGGGACATGCCCGACCTAATACAAAACGGCACAAGCAGAAGGCTTCGGGGCTCCGCGCGGACTTCTTGGATCGGCGCCATAGACCCCCCACCCTGGCGCGCGGAGAGGCTGCCAAGGGGGGCCCAACACCAGTCGAAGAAATTCGCGCGAAGCTCCGAAAGCGCATACTTGATTGCGTGTCGTCGTCCCTGCTACGGGCCCCTTTGCCCCTGGGCGGGGGTTGCTACCAGGCCGCCAGCGGCGAGGAATTGGCGGCTGGGGCCCAATGCACCACTGGCATGCAGGCTGTCCAGCATACGCGCTGCCGACAACAATGCAGGTCCCAAAGGACGCCCGCGCACCGGCTTCTCGCCGCCCCGCTCCACCCGAGGCCCCCGCGCATCGACGAGTGGCCGAAGCGCCCCTCCAGAGGAGGAAGAGGAGGAGAAGGAGGAGGACGAGGACGAGAAGGTGTAGGAGGAGGCGGAGGAGGAGGAGGAGGAGGAGGAGGAGGAGGAGGAGGAGCAGGAGTCTCTTTCTCTCTCTCTCTCTCTCTCTCTCTTACTGCCCATTCAAGCAATCTCTAGAACAGAAGTCCTTCTGAAGATTTGCTCTGGGTGGGGGGGATCCTTCAGAACCCTTTACCCTCTCTGGTGAGGAGGAGGAGGAGGAGGAGGAGGAGGAGGAGGAGGGAGGAGGAGGAGGGGAGAGGAGGAGGAGAGGGAGGGGGAGGAGGAGGAGGAGGAGGAGGAGGAGGAGGAGGAGGAGGAGGAGGAGGAGGAGGAGGAGGAGGGAGGAGGAGGAGGGAGGAGGGGAGGAGGAGGAGGAGGAGGAGGAGGAAAGGAGGAGGAGGAGAGAGGAGGAGGGAGGAGGAGGAGGAGGAGGATGAGGAGGAGGAGGAGGAGGAGGAGTAAGAGGAGGAGGAGGAGGAGCCGGCGGCGGCGGCGGCGGGGCGCCCGCCGCCCTGAGTCTATCCCCCGGTAACGCTGGCTTTCAGGTCAGAACTCGGCTCTCTGGCGGCCAGTCGGGACGACTCGGGCGTCTGGGGTCCTCTCGGAGGAGGTTCCAGGATCGAAGCTCGAAGCCCGAGGAGGTTCCAGGATCGAAGCTCGAGGAGGTTCCAGGATCGAAGCTCGAGGAGGTTCTCGGGCGTCTGGGGGCCGCCTGGGAGCGCTCCCGGGGGGGCCCGCGCCTCCTCGAGGAAGGGGGCGCGGGCTCCCGACGAGGCGAGGCTGCCGAGACGCATTCCGAGGCAAGGGAGCCTCCAGGAATCCGCGAGAGCGGACAAAAACCTCTGACCTCGACCCTTGGGCCTCTCACCCCTACCTAGAGGCCGCCCAGCTGATGTTCAGGTGGATGGGGTCGGAGGATCGCGCCGCATCGCCAAGGCATCCCCGATGCATCGCTAACGTCGGCGGTGCATCGGCGACGTCGGGGCTCCACGTCAAACCGATTCGCCGACGCATCGGCGATGCGGCGCGATCCTTCGACCCCGTCTACGTCGACCCCATCTGGGAGGCCTCGAGCTTACCCCTGAGCGTCATCCCCCACTTCGGATTTCGGGTCATATCTCGGGTATCTGGCGGCCGTTCGGGACGATCTGAGCACCCCCAGAACCCTCTCGGAGAGGCGCGCAGCCTCTGGAAGGCATGGCGAGGCTGGGAAACCGCCGAGGACCAACGAAAGCGTCCGAAAACCTCGAGCCCCGAGGTCTCCCCCTTAAACCGCTGCCCCTGGTCCTCTCGAGCTGCCTGCCCACGGACGCCAGGCTGCAGGCGTTCAGCAGCACGAGCCTCAGGCCGCCCCTGCCGCGGCCGCCTCCCTCGGGCGGCTCGGGCTCGGGGTCCCTCATAGGAGGGCTCCAAACAGTACACCACCACCACCAGCCCTGGCTGGGCCCATCCTGGGCCCTGGACTGGTGCACGGGCCCTCCTGGCCCGAGCCCGAAGGTCTACACGCCAGTCCAGGGCTCAGGATGGACCTGGCCAGGGCCGGTGGTGGTGCACTGTTGGCGCCCCTCCGACCTCAGCCGCAGCAGCCCCTCCAGCTGGTCGGCGGAGAAGACCTGGGCGGTACCGCGGCCGTCCTCGGGACGGGGAGCTGCACGAGAACGGCGCCCGC